TCTCAACTTACAACACATCAATAGGAGCGCCTTGCAAGTCATACGAAGACTTATGTTCAAGGTAAAAAAAAGAGGGTCACACAAAAACTTTTTTCAATCTCAAATGAGGAAATTGCTGATACATTTAACGAAATGCTGAAAAAGGAAAACCAACATATGGATGTCGTACATATTGCAACTATTCTTCCTAATGCATCACCAAAACGACTTAAGCGAATTGTGTAAAGTATACCAACTCCAACATCATAATCAAATTTTACTGAAGAGGAAGCAATAGCGCTTATGTTGGAACTGGGTCTCAGTCGAAATAAGTACCAAATATTAAGGAAAGCTCTGCATGAAAAAGGACACAATATATTACCATCATACAAGGCGATCCAGGAAAAAAAACAAACTATCCTACTAAATCAACAAAAAATAATGAAGAATTGAAAGAACTGAGAGCTGCGGAAAAAAGCAGAATCCAAGAAGAATTTAAAGTTCAGATGGGATTAAACATCGACAAACCACTTTCAAGTTGAGGTAGTACAAATGACGGTAATACGTCGAGAAGGTTTTTTCGTGATTTTGAAATTACTTCAAAAATAACTGGAATCGACAAGGAGTTGCTTCGAAGAGTTAAAACTATTTTAATGGCACTGAATAGTAAACATAAAATTAATGAAAATCGATTTGGGGAATACACATCTGAAATTTCTAAATTACTTGTATCTCTGTATCCATGGAGGGAACTAACACCAACAGTACACAAAGTATTGTGTCATGGTCAAATAATAATTGAATCGAATATTCTTCCACTTGGAGAGTTAACAGAAGAAGCCCAGGAAGCGAGGAATCGAGATTTTAAGCATGTTCAACTATTCAGCTCAAGAAAATGCTACAGGCAATCACAGAATGAAGATATTTTTAATAGTTTACTTCTATCTTCTGATCCTGTTCTTTCAACTATGCGAAAAAGATGGATTTGTTATGAAACTCTATCATCTCAAAACAAGAAAGATTTAAAGGACTTATATTACCTTCTGGATATGTATACCGATATGACAGATTATTTTATAGAAAATAAGTAGTGTTAGGAATTAACTATATAAGTAGGTTGTAAGAATTAATTGTATTATGTTTAAGATAAACAGTTCAAATAAAAAAAGCTATTATACTAACTGATGATATTGTATTAAATTGTGTTTTATATTTCGGTGGGCGGGAAAGGTAATTTGTGTGGGGTGATTTAGGTGTTGTTGTGCGTGGCTCATAATAAAATTATAATTTTTTTTATTTAATATACAATATTATAATAAAATAATTAACTAAATAATTTTTAAAAATTGTCCAAATATTTTATTCAACACCAAATGTATGTTCTGTCATACTTAATACTAAAATATGAAAAAGATGAAATTAAAGGACACAGGTTTAAATGAACATATTTTTGAATGTAATTGAGATATTGGCTTGAAATTTTTTGTAAAGGGTCGAGAATTTCCATATCTAACTAAAAAATTATATTAAGGGATAAATATGGACTAAATTGTTGTAGCTATCTGCGATCCTATTAAAATTTTGATATAAATCATAGTTTTAGAAATTAAACAAATATGTAATATATGACAAAATCTTTATTTATGAACAAAACTCAATGAAATCTTCAACGCTTGTTAAATTTGTCATCTCAAATAAGAAAATGCAAAAACAAAATTGAAAAGGTCAAAGGGCATCCCGCAATTCCCAAAAATAGGAATGAAAATCCCAAAAATGGGATTTTTTACATTTTTGCCCATAGAGTCCACATTTCTTTCAGGGCTGGGAAAATACTTTTGGAGTAAATAGAAAACATATTGAGGTTTCCAAAACTGCTTTCAGTTTTCTGATCCCAGCTTTGGGATTTTAGAACATGTCGCCCAAAGTTGAAGTTTTGATAAAAAATAGGTCACATTCGGAAGGACGCAGTGGCAACATTTTCAAAAAATAGGACATGTTTTTTACGCCAAAGCGTTCTGCGTAAAGATACCTTTTAGAAAACTATAAAATTGTTATATGTTCTTAATAAAAAATTTATTTTATTAATAAAAGAGTTAAGACACATTTTTGGCAAAAAAACGCCAAAAATCTAAAATTTTTTGAATTTTTAGATTAAAAAACGTATATTTTTGGATCTGTAAACGATATTGATCTGAAATTTTTTGTATATTATTGGAAATTTTGTTGTCTAACTAACAAGAAAAAACTGAGTCCATTTGGTCCAAAATTACGCCCGGTATTCAAAAAAAGGCGGACCAAGGTATGGTAAATTTTGTATCACTAAATTTTTAAATGCCTATAACTCGGATATTATAAGAGATAAGTAGTATGTCCAAGCATGTTTTTTCAAGATCTCGTCGAGCGCTTTCACAAAATATAAAAATCTTTGTATTTGGGTGAAAAAAAATGGCACGAGTTTAAAAATTTTACATGTCGTAGGTACCCTACTTTGAGCCGCCACAGCGCCGTCCCTGGGGCATCTGCAGGGTTCATCTTCAAAACTTAAACTCGAATACTCCTTGACTACGCTCACGCCAAATTTTATCCCGATCGGATCAGCCGTTTAGAAATGCCAGATTTATTTCCAAAAAATTTCCATTCTGCCCCACTGTGCAACATAATATCAAAATGTTGTAAAAAAACTACTTGGTTTCAATCACATTTTTGAGAAATTTTAACTTTGATTGTTTATTTCTCCAACATAAAACTACTCTCGACCACAAAATTTTATGGACGTATTCTTTCAAGTCTTGTGAATAAAAATTCGTCATCACTTAATTTTCAAAATATTAAACGAAAGAAATAGTTAATGCATAAAGTTGATTTCTTAAAATCTTAAACAAAAAAAGAATTTCCCATATATATGCCTTAATGCACGAGAACCCGTTTTTACTCGTATCTTAAGATTTTATTAAATTCTTTGAAAAAAAAAAACTTTTATTTGTCATTCGTTCGAATAATCGAATAATTTGTAAAATTTAATCGAATACTCGAATGAAAAAAAATTGCACCCTAATAATTACATAAGAAACAATTTTAGATCTATCAAGTGCTTGAAATAGGTTCACAAAATAAGTTTGAAAACCAACGTATGTATATATTTTAAACAACAGGATGATCAATTTATGATTGCTATACATTTGTTATTGTTTCTCAAATTATCAGTTTTTATACCCTCCACCACCATCAGTGGTGATAGAGGGTATATATAACTTTGTCATTCCGTGTGTAACACCAAGAAATATTCATCTGAGACCCAACAAAGTATATATATTCTTGGACCTTATGAAATTCTGAGTCGATTTAGCTATGTCCGTCTGTCCGTCCGTCCGTCCGTCTGTCTGTCTGTATAAAACATTCTCACGTTAACACGAAGCAACAGAAATGAACGAACTTCACACAAAATATTTATTATTGTCCTAGGCAGTTTGGTATTGAAAATGAGCAGAATCGGTTTAACGCGGGAAAAGTTATGAATCAAAATTTGAAACAACCTCGAAAAAAATAAGCATTTTTTACACATTCTGATATAAGTTTCTCGAAAACTATGCAAGGTAATTCCATGAAAATCACCATACATTCGTTTCTACATAAGAGCTTGATCCCTGCTGAAAATTGTTAGAATCGGTCCACAATTTCATATACCTCCCATACAAAAGTACATATTCCCGGAAAATGGGTTTTTTGTTAATAACTTCCGTCAGAATGTAGATATCTTCACAAAATTTCACAAATTAAAATCTTATGTCAATAGAAATCATTCAGAGAAAAAATTTTCTGGATCGGTCCATAATTGGACATAGCTCCCATACAAGGTCCCCTCCCGAAAATCACTTAAACGCGCATAGCTCATTACTTAATTAAGATATCCATATAAAATTTGCTATAAGTATTGCCCATATGCACAGAAATATTACTGTGAAAGTTTCTTGCGATCGGTCCATAATTGGTCATAGCTCCCATACAAGGTCCCCTTCCGAAAATCACTTAAACGCGCATAACTCATTACTAATTTACGATCGGTCCCCTCCAGAAAATCACTTAAATGCACAATATTAATTATCAAATAATTATATAAATACAGAATTTTGAAATTTTGTCTTTATATACATAATTGGTCATAGCTCCCATACAAGGTCCTTTTACGAAAATCTCTTAAACGCACATTACTCATTACCAAATAAAGCTATACTAAATTACGATATAGATACAAAGTTTGACTGAAATATAGCTTTTATGTACAGAAATTTTACTTAAAGAATTTTTTACGATCGGTCTATAATTGATCTTATCTCCCATACTAGGAACTGCCCCTAAAAGCGCTTTAACCTTATTTAACTATTTGCATTATCAATTTGTGTAGAACAAAATTATATATACATATGTATGTATTTTGAAAATTCTTAAATCTTTCACACACATGCATACATGCAAATTATTAAATATTGCTAAGCGCTATTAAAATATTAAAGAAAATGGCGTTTGTAATGTTCAATAAATCTTGAAGAAGACTTATTTCTACAAATATTTGATCAATTAGAAAAGTATTAATATAAAAGTAGCTGGTGGAGGGTATTTAAGATTCGGCTCAGCCGAATATAGCACTCTAACTTGTTATGTGATTAAAAACTGATTATTTGAGATAATTTTCGAATAATTTTTTAAGCGCACAACTTATTAATCACTTTTAGGTCTTCAAAAGGAGTCAATGATCATGTGTGTGCATGAAATAGCCAAAAAAGTTTATTTTTTATGTTTCTAATGCAAACTGGTCAGATAAAAAGCATATTTTTTGAACTAAGACATTAAAATTAAAAAATATTATTTTAATTTCAAACGGTTAATATATCTGAATTAGTTCTGTAACATTCTACTAATGTTGACTACTCAATCCTTTTCCTTTGGGTACTTAATACATACATACATACTTATATTTAATATAATTAAAAATGTTATTGATTTTAATATTTATATATTTTAAGATCAAACTAACGCTGTCAAAAGGATTGGGAATTTCAATAGTCACACGATCCCCTTGTGAAGAATTAGCGTATATAACGTTAGAGAACATAATTGTTGACATAATTTTATTGCCCTTCACGAAGTCGATCGATTTAAAAGTCAGAGACCTGCAAATAGATAATCAGCTATTGGAAGCGCAATGCCCTATAGTATTGTATACTTGGAAGTCAAATAACGAAACCTCAGACCAAGAGTCATTAATTTTGAGGGCAAAATTGTTGCCAAGCCCAAATAAGAATGCTGTTATATTTGAAAATTTTTCTTTTGACATTAAACCTTGTACTGTTGTAATAGAAGAAAGATTTATTCTCAAAACTGCGTTATTTTTGGGATACAAAAAACATACTCAACGACATGAGAAGTTACCGGATAATCATATATACCATAAATATGAAAATCCATTTTCGAAAAATGCTAAGAGATTTTATTTTGAAAGCTGTTTAATTGGATCAACACAGGTAAGTAATTTATTTTCTCTCTTTTTGCATAATTTTTTGTTATATAACATCGCACAGTGGGGCAGAATGGAAATTTTTTGGAAATAAATCTGGCATTTCTAAACGGCTGATCCGATCGGGATAAAATTTGGCGTGAGCGTAACCAAGGAGTATTCGAGTTTAAGTTTTGAAGATGAACCCTGCAGATGCCCCAGGGACGGCGCTGTGGCGGCTCAAAGTAGGGTACCTACGACATGTAAAATTTTTAAACTCGTGCCATTTTTTTTCACCCAAATACAAAGATTTTTATATTTTGTGAAAGCGCTCGACGAGATCTTGAAAAAACATGCTTGGACATACTACTTATCTCTTATAATATCCGAGTTATAGGCATTTAAAAATTTAGTGATACAAAATTTACCATACCTTGGTCCGCCTTTTTTTGAATACCGGGCGTAATTTTGGATCAAATGGACTCAATTCTTGTTAGTTAGACAACAAAATTTCCAATAATATACAAAAAATTTCAGATCAATATCATTTACAGATCCAAAAATATACGTTTTTTAATTTAAAAATTCCAAAAATTTTAGATTTTTGGCGTTTTTTTACCAAAAATGTGTCTTAACTCTTTTATTAATAAAATAAAATTTTCTTTAAGAACATATAACAATTTTATAGTTTTCTAAAAGGTATCTTTACGTAGAACGCTTTGGCGATATGTTCTAAAATCCCAAAGCTGGGATCAGAAAACTGAAAGCACTTTTGGAAACCTCAATATGTTTTCTATTTACTCCAAAAGTATTTTCCCAGCCCTGAAAGAAATGTGGACCCTATGGGCAAAAAATCCCATTTTTGGGATTTTCATTCCTATTTTTGCATTTTCTTATTTTAAATGACAAATTTAACAAGCGTTGAAAATTTCATTGAGTTTTGTTCATAAATAAAGATTTTGTCATATATTACATACATATTTGTTTAATTTCTAAAACTATGATTTATATCAAAATTTTAATAGGGTCGCAGATAGCTACAACAATTTAGTCCATATTTATCCCTTAATATCATTTTTTAGTTAGATATGGAAATTCTCGACCCTTTACAAAAAATTTCAAGCCAATATCTCAATTACATTCAAAAATATGTTCATTTAAACCTGTGTCCTTTAATTTCATCTTTTTCATAATTTAGTATTAAGTATGACAGAACATACATTTGGTGTTGAATAAAATATTTGGAAAATTTTTAAAATTATTTAGTTAATTATTTAATTAAAGACTATAACATTGTATATACAATAAAAAGTTATAATTTTATTATGAGCCACGCACAACAACACCTAAATCACCCCACACAAACCACCTTTCCCGCCCACCGAAATATAAAACACAATTTAATACAATATCATCAGTTAGTATAATAGCTTTTTTTATTTGAAATGTTTATCTTAAACATAATACAATTAATTCTTACAACCTACTTATATAGTTAATTCCTAACACTACTTATTTTCTATAAAATAATCTGTCATATCGGTATACATATCCAGAAGGTAATATAAGTCCTTTAAATCTTCCTTGTTTTGAGATGATAGAGTTTCATAACAAATCCATCTTTTTCGCATAGTTGAAAGAACAGGATCAGAAGATAGAAGTAAACTATTAAAAATATCTTCATTCTGTGATTGCCTGGAGCATTTTCTTGAGCTGAATAGTTGAACATGTTTAAAATCTCGATTCCTCGCTTCCTGAGCTTCTTCTGTTAACTCTCCAAGTGAAAGAATATTCGATTCAATTATTATTTGACCATGACACAATACTTTGTGTACTGTTGGTGTTAGTTCCCTCCATGGATACAGAGATACAAGTAATTTAGAAATTTCAGATGTATATTCCCCAAATCGATTTCCATTAATTTTATGTTTACTATTCAGTGCCATTAAAATAGTGTTAACTCTTCGAAGCAACTCCTTGTCGATTCCAGTTATTTTTGAAGTAATTTCAAAATCACGAAAAAACCTTCTCGCCGTATTACCTTCATTTGTACTACCGCAACTTGAAAGTGGTTTGTCGATGTTTAATCCCATCTGAACTTTAAATTCTTCTTAGATTCTGCTATTTTCCGCAGCTCTCAGTTCTTTCAATTCTTCATTATTTTTTGTTGATTTAGTAAGATTCTCTGGCACACTTCTATATTTGAGGTCGTATGCTATGTGTAAGAAGTAATCCAAAAATCGTATTCTGGCATGAAGTGGTGAAATTCCGAAAGACAGGTCTTCTTCATTAATACTTCTGCTTTTGTTTATATTTGAGAATTGCGACTTTTTCTCATTACATATTGAGCATCTCCAGAAGGAAGAAGTTTCTGTTATGGCATTGCTGACCTTTCCATCAATCATTGTTAAGCTTAGCTGATATGATACGTTAATAGAGAATTCCTTTATTTTTATGCAAATGGGCTCCAGTGCATTTATTTCATCTTTTAAATATTCCACTAAATCTTTTGTTGTTTTCTTTGACTCCTTTATATGTTCAAATCCAATGGGTCTACAAAAATTTTTTGAACCCGGAGTTGTATTGATATATATATCTTCAAATGAATTTCCGATGCTTGACGATGATGGATTAAGGGAATATGAACGAATTCGTAATGGCACTAATGATGACATAAATACACTTTTGTAGTCTGCTAATGTCCGACTTCCACAAGCTTGTTTGTATTCTGGAAGTGCTGATAAACCGTCACATCCCCACTTACATATTAAGACAACATCACAGTTATGAATTTTCCTTAGTTGGTCTTCTGAAAAGTCTGACACAATTCTTGATCCTGTGTTTTCGAGCAAAGATGATATATCAATACAAGCTTCCACATCATTAACAGCAATAGGTGATGGTAGGATAGTTTGTTTTTTTTCCTAGATCGCCTTCTATGATGGTAATATATTGTGTCCTTTTTCATGCAGAGCTTTCCTTAATATTTGGTACTTATTTCGACTGAGACCCAGTTCCAACATAAGCGCTATTGCTTCCTCTTCAGTAAAATTTGATTGTGATGTTGGAGTTGGTATACTTTCCACAATTCGCTTAAGTCGTTTTGGTGATGCATTAGGAAGAATAGTTGCAATATGTACGACATCCATATGTTGGTTTTCCTTTTTCAGCATTTCGTTAAATGTATCAGCAATTTCCTCATTTGAGATTGAAAAAAGTTTTTGTGTGACCCTCTTTTTTTTTGACCTTGAACATAAGTCTTCGTATGACTTGCAAGGCGGTCCTGTTGATGTGTTGAGATTTCCGTAGTAGTTTCCATCCAACTACAAAATTTTAATAGAAATTTCTTTTGATTTCCATCCACAGACTTACTTTTTACATCAAAAAGTTTTAAAAAGTTTTCAATTTTTGATATGCCTGTTTTGTCTACTTTTCTACTAAATGTAGTTTTTATATAATTTGAAATGTCTTCAATTCTTTCTGGCCCTTTTGAAGATACACTCCATAAAACGGAACACAACTCTTCGTTTAATGTAATCTTCATTGTAGATTTATTAAATATGGTACTTAAAATCTAAGAAGTTTACTTATATACCAATTCTTGTCATTTCCGATACAGGTATTTCAAAGTAAAAAATTACAAATTGTCTACCTATTAACATTTAGGACTATATTACTATAACCTGTAATTCAGTCATTGATATTTCTTATTAGTGAATGAATCGAAATTATCATTACCTGTATATTTTTACCTACATGATCATAAACGAAACAGAACGAAATGATCTTGAAAATTTAAGCATAATAGGACCTTTCAATTATAAGGATAAGCAAACAAATAGAAAATAGGTAAATATAAGATTTAAATATGTTCTGTCATACTTAATACTAAAATATGAAAAAGATGAAATTAAAGGACACCGGTTTAAATGAACATATTTTTGAATGTAATTGAGATATTGGCTTGAAATTTTTTGTAAAGGGTCGAGAATTTCCATATCTAACTAAAAAATGATATTAAGGGATAAATATGGACTAAATTGTTGTAGCTATCTGCGACCCTATTAAAATTTTGATATAAATCATAGTTTTAGAAATTAAACAAATATGTAATATATGACAAAATCTTTATTTATGAACAAAACTCAATGAAATTTTCAACGCTTGTTAAATTTGTCATTTAAAATAAGAAAATGCAAAAAAAAAAATTGAAAAAGTCAAAGGGCATCCCGCAATTCCCAAAAATAGGAATGAAAATCCTAAAAATTGGATTTTTTACTTTTTTGCCCATAGGGTCCACATTTCTTTCAGGGCTGGGAAAATACTTTTGGAGTAAATAGAAAACATATTGAGGTTTCCAAAAGTGCTTTCAGTTTTCTGATCCCAGCTTTGGGATTTTAGAACATATCGCCAAAGCGTTCTACGTAAAGATACCTTTTAGAAAACTATAAAATTGTTATATGTTCTTAAAGAAAATTTTATTTTATTAATAAAAGAGTTAAGACACATTTTTGGTAAAAAAACGCCAAAAATCTAAAATTTTTGGAATTTTTAAATTAAAAAACGTATATTTTTGGATCTGTAAATGATATTGATCTGAAATTTTTTGTATATTATTGGAAATTTTGTTGTCTAACTAACAAGAATTGAGTCCATTTGATCCAAAATTACGCCCGGTATTCAAAAAAAGGCGGACCAAGGTATGGTAAATTTTGTATCACTAAATTTTTAAATGCCTATAACTCGGATATTATAAGAGATAAGTAGTATGTCCAAGCATGTTTTTTCAAGATCTCGTCGAGCGCTTTCACAAAATATAAAAATCTTTGTATTTGGGTGAAAAAAAATGGCACGAGTTTAAAAATTTTACATGTCGTAGGTACCCTACTTTGAGCCGCCACAGCGCCGTCCCTGGGGCATCTGCAGGGTTCATCTTCAAAACTTAAACTCGAATACTCCTTGGTTACGCTCACGCCAAATTTTATCCCGATCGGATCAGCCGTTTAGAAATGCCAGATTTATTTCCAA